ACATAGGGTTTTGCCAACTTCTGGGCTATCCTGGGCCCACAATCTTGTTGCTGAGCCCAGGTTCTCAAACTCTAGTCCCAACCCTCTATTAGTCCAGCCACTTGCCCCCATATGCAAAAAAAGAAAGAAAGAAATTTATGAAGGGCTGAGAAAGGAGATTCATTACATGGCACCCATGGGAAGCCAGCACTTCCGTACATCTTCAGCATCTTCATCTTCAGTGGTGTTGGGAGAATTGGGACAGCGGGTGAGGTAGGTATGCATGTTTAAAACCATTCCAGGTCACAGGTATTGACCATTAGCTCAGTCTTTGTCTCTGGAGCAGTTCTGGAGAAGTTATCATCTTACCCCTGGAGTGAAACTGCACAAGTTGCCTGGAGGGTAGTCACCTGGGCTTTACAACAGTAAGACTATGGCATTGCTTATTTGAGGATCAGTTTTGCCCTCTGTCATATGTCACCAGGTGCTTATCGGTAAATCCTGTTCCTCCAAGAGCCCAAAGTGACTGCAAAACAGGGAAAGTCAGATCAAAGGGCATGAGATGCTGCCTCTGTGTGTGTGTGTGTGTGTGTGTGTGTGTGTGTGTGTGTGTGAGAGACAGAGAGAGAGAGAGAGAGAGAGAGAGAGGGAAAGAGAATATCCACATTTTAGTTAATTTACAGGCTTAGAAAAAAGCATCTTTATATAAATATAAATATATATATAAAATTTGAATTTTTGGAAACTTTAGCTGTGCTGTCAACTTTGGAAAAAGTATCCCAGTTTACTGTGTTGAGTTGGCATTGTAGAGAAATTAATAGCCATATTGGTCTAGAAATGTTTAATTTTTTTCCATTTGTACAGGGGTAAACGCACTGTATTAAATATGTAAGGTTTTATCTACTTGGGTTTGATTACAGAACCTAATAAAGTATTCTCTAAATTAAAAAAGAAAAAAGAAAAAAGCATCTTTTGGGTTGCCCCTTACACTGTCCCTGACTCCCAAGGAGCTGGGATTACAAATGTGCCCCAGAATTGTATAATATTGAACTTGTGTTTGGGGACCATAACTCTTTCAGGGTAGATCCAGAAAAAAAATTCCTCTGAAAATATGCTGGTCCTATTCTTTTTTCTCAAAGTTAGAGCTTCTGTGTACGCACCCTGTGATGAAAAACCCTTAAGATGAAAACCCCATGGGATGCTGCACTCAGGGCCTCTCACTTCCCACTGCCTCTTCCGGCTGTTGCTGGTTGGCTTCTGTGCCGAGGCCTGGCCTCAGCAGGCCCTGGCCTTTTGGTTTTAGGCAGTATACTTGGACTTCCTCCATGGAAACGAAGGAAGCTTTTCCTCCCCCACCCCATCCTCCCGATAAAGTCACATGGGTTTTGGTTCAGTTAGTGTCAGCATTTTCTTTATTGTAACTGTGTCATAATTATTGGGCCCAGCTATTTCCTTCCTTGTACTTTGGTTTGTTTTTCTCCTCCTTGAAGTTTGGAATTCCTCTTTTCAGTCAGTAAGCTCTGCCAGTGGCCATGAATATCCCTGGGAAGCCATTCCTCTGCAGCCAGCCCTGTTCCAGCCAGAGCCAGCGTCTGGCCCCTGCTCACCCTGGACTTTCCCCACCACCCTGGGGAGCCTCAGGTGGAAGAGGGCCTTTGCTGGCCTGGGTGGGTGGCTTCCTTTCTTGATTTGCTCTTTTTTTTTTTTTTTTTTTAAATTTTTAAGGCACATCCTTGATTCTCTTCCTAGAAAAGGGCACAAGAGAAGGAAACATGCATGCCTGTAATCCCGGCTACTAGTCAAAGGCAGGAGAATGGCAAGTGTGAGGCTGGCCAGGGTAAAGTTAGGAAGGTCAGGTAGTGGGAGTCGGGCCCCAGGATTGTTGAAGGGAGGGAGGGAGGGAGGAGGAGCAGGAGAAAGAGGAGGGAAAAAAGGAAGGAAGGAAGGGAGGGAGGGAGGGAGGGAGGGAGGGAGGGAGGAAGGGAAAAGAAAAGAAAAGGAAGAGCAAGCAGGCAGGGCGCTGGTGGCTCACACCTATAATCCTAGCTACTCAGGAGGCTGAGATCTGAGGATCATGGTTCAAAATCAGCCCAGGCAGGAAAGTCCATGAGACTCTTTTTTTTTTTTGGGTCCAGTCATGGGGCCTGAACTTTTGCCTGGGCGCTGTCCCTTAGCTCTTCAGCTCAAGGCTAGCACTCTACCACTTGAGCCACAGCGCCACTTCCGGCTTTCTTTTTGCTTATGTGGTGCTGGGGAATCAAACCCAGGGCCTCAGGCATGCAAGGCAAGCGCGTTACCACTGAGCCACCTTCCCAGCCCTGTCCATGAGACTCTTATCTCCAATTAACCACCAGAAAACCAGATGTGGCTCAAGTGATAGAGTACTGGCTAGCCTATTGCTGAAGAGCTGAAGGACAGCTCCCAGGCTCAGAGTTCAAACCCCATGACTGACCAAAAAAAAAAAAAAAAAGAAGAAGAAAAGAAGCAGGTCCTTGTTTTCCAGTGGCTTATTAGTGTCTCTCCTCCGTGCAGCTGTTAGCTCCATCTGGTTTTCATTTGGTGTTTTGTCTTTTTCTCCGGTGCGTGGTGGCCTACTCTGTGTCCTGTGCCCCCTGTTTGGTTCTGTGTGTCCCACCTGTAGAGGCTGGCCTGGACTACGGGTGTCTAGGTTGGCTGTTATACTTGAGAATGGAGTGGCCAGGGTCAAGGCTTGGTCAGGATCCTGGGCAGCCTCTGCATAAGGCTGGCCCCCTGAGGATGTTGCTTGAGCAGAGCCAGCCCAGAGCTGGCCAGAGTCCAGGGCTCTCCGGTAGCCTCTCAGCTCGCCAGACTTGTGGGCATTGACATCCCCTTCCTGGGGCAGCAGTCTCGGGTACGAGGGTCCCCTGTCTGGCCTACCTTGCAGACTATAGTCCCCCTTTATGCAACAACATAATATTCCTGACTTGAGTAATTTTAGGAGCTCCAACTGCATTGCTGGGATTGGTGCTGGAGGATGATGACCAGAGGTCCCTAATCCTCTAGGGCTCCTGGGCCAGTCCCCAGAGAGCAGGAACAGCAGCAATGTGGCTGCCATTGATGGCTCCAAGGGTAGTGAGGGGCTTAATTCCATTGGTTCTCAGTGAGATGGAGAAGTGTGTGTGCCTGGGCAGGCCGCAATGCCCGTGGGTCCCCTGGCCACGCTGAGCAGTGGTGAATGACCAGGCACTCTGCACTTACCTAGTACAAAAGCAGCTTCTGGGCCCGGCACTACGGGCCAGTGTGGGCTTGTCCAGGCCAGACCCAGGAAGCCCATATCAGGGTTTCCCCCAATTCTCACCCAAGGGAAAATGCAGAATGTGGCTTGTTAGTGGCCATCTTTCTCCACTAAAAGAAGAAAATTTACCACTGTTGGCCCAACGTGCACACCTCCAGTCTCACCTCAGCCTTAAAGAGAGGGACAGGAATTTATTTTAGGGCAGGACTCCTTCCTTCCCTCTCTCCCAATTTTTCCCTCCCATCCCCATCTATAAATTGTATAATTCATTTTCAGCATAGTGCCTAGTGAGTACCACGGCTGCATTTGTTTACCTTGAGGGAGGGGAATTTAATCCATGCAACAGTGGTGGCTCTCATTGTTCTACTTGGCCTCTACTGGGACCCTGAATACAGTCCCCCAAACATGGGGCCTAGTGGAGGGTTTTGGCCAAGTCCCCCGGGTTTGGGGCTCTTCCCCTTTCCATGAGAGATATTGGCTTATTCTGCCTTTTGGAGAGAGAGAGAGAAAAAGAGAGAGTCTGTCCGTCCCCATGTCCTTGTGCACTCTATCACTTAAACCACAGCTCCACTTCTGGCCTTTTGTTGGTTAATTGGAGATAAGAATCTCAGACTTTCCTGCCTGGTCTGGCTCTGAACCTCAGTCCTCAAATCTCAGCCTGCTGAGTAGCTGATATTACAGGCATGAGCCATTGTTGCCTGGCTCCTGCACAGTTTTTATTAGCTTAGGCCGCCCACGGCCATCTCAAAGGGTGTAGCATTTTTTAATGCTGGTAGTGGGACTTGAACTCAGTGCCTCACACTCTTGCTTAGCTTTTTTCTACTTAAGACTGATTTTTTTGTAGGTTAATGGAAGATAAAAAATATTTCAGATTTGCCTGTTGCCTTCAAACTGTGATCCTCAGATCTCAGCCTCCTGAGCCACAAAGTTTACAGTATGCGACACCAGAGCCACTGCCAGGAAAGCTGCTATATTTTCCCCTTCTTCCTCTCACAAACTAGTTTATAAGTACGGATTAAACTTTCTGTGAAAGTAGCCTTACTTGGGTATAAGTAGCTACCTACCAGTGCTCAACTCCTATATATTTTTTTTTCAAGGCTGGTCTGTAACTGCAGTCTTCTGAGCTTAGACTGAGCCTGGCTCGACAAGATTGCCTCTGACCTGGGTCTCGTTGATTTTCCCTGAATAGTTTCAGCAACAGACATTTTCAGAATCAAGATTTTGATGAGGTCTGATGACCAAAGCCAGTCCTAGTTCATTGGGGCAATTGGCCAAAGCTCCCGACCAGCTGAGCCAAGGGAGAGCCAGTGTCCCACTCCTGCCCTTGATTGGAAGTCCTCAGCACAGCCCAGCACCTTTCTTGTATCTAACTATGGCTCTTCTCCACTTCAGGCCTGTTCCTGGGGTGCCATCTTGTGGACACCTTGGCACTGACCAGCAGCTCCTGTGGCTGTGGACTCAGGTCTCTGCCAGGGAGAGGCTTCAATCCCCTCAGGTTCAACTCTTCACAGAGATCCTTGTGGGAAGCTGCATGGGTGCCAGCCGGGAGAGGCTGGGCACTGCCACCTGTGGCACTGGGGATGAGGTACCTTGGCCCTGGAGAGGGATTGCTGCTGGATAAAGCTTGCTTGCTGCCCCTGGTCCTGCACCAGGGTACACATTGTTGAGAGAAGTGAACCCTTATTATCCAATGGTGGTCCTGAGACCATGGCAGGCCCAAGCCCATCTCTGCAGGGAGAACTCACGGTGTGTCCTCTCTCTTCAGCGTCCCCAACTCCTGCCCTGCCAGCCCTCGAGGAGCCGGGTCCTCTGGCTACCGCTTTGTCCAGAACGTGACCTCAGACCTGCAGCTGGCTGCTGAGTTTGCTGCAAAGGCCGCCTCTGAGCAGCAGGCAGATACATCGGGCGGGGACAGCCCCAAGGTATGAGGAGCACACTATGGTGACCCACACAGGTAGAAGAGAGGGACCCCAAGGGCAGCAGACAGAGCAGTCACCTCTCCCCACTTGCCAAACACGATCGTGACATTGCTCCCTCTTCCCCTCTCCCTGTCCCATCTCCTGCCAAGTGTGGGGTTTAATGACAGTCATCCAGTGGGGTGATACATGCTTTCTTATGTCTGATAACTGATCGGTGTGTTGAGGGGGTACGGAATTTCAGGATTAAATTATGATAAAAGCCTGACTTTTCCGTCCTCCAAGGCAAAGCAGCTAATACATGAAATTTCATGAAAGTGGCCCACCAGCGATCATGGGGATGGGTTTAGTCTGGGAGCAGGCGGTGGGGGGCGTGGCACCTTGTCTTCTTCTCACCCCAGCACTCTGCTTCTCCCCAGGACGAGTCGAAACCACCATACTCCTATGCACAGCTCATAGTGCAGGCCATCTCCTCCGCCCAGGACCGGCAGCTAACACTAAGCGGCATCTACGCCCACATCACCAAGCATTACCCATACTACAGGACGGCCGACAAAGGCTGGCAGGTGAGGCCATGCAGTAAACAGGAAAGACATGGGGGTCCTTCTATAGAGGATGACCCACAGCACCTCTAAAATGTCAGGCTGCAGTACACGAAGCCTACAATGGGTGCCTGGTGCACTCTCCTGCTTCCTGCCCGGCATTGTAAGCACCAGGCACATGGCCGATCCAGCACCGGATGGGTGTCGCCACTGTGGCCCCATGGCACCACCAGCCCTCGGTGTAGTAGGTGCACTGGTATGTGTTGTTCCCTCATTCCCTTGTGTTTTCCCATAGTTACTGTTTGCTGCTTGCTAGCTTACTCAAGATGAGTTGTGTGTGCTGTGGGACTCAAGTCTTTGCTTTTCATTTTTCTTTTTTTGCCAGTCCTGGGGCTTGAACTCAGGACCTAGGCACTGTCCCTGAGCTTCTTTTGCTCAAGGCTAGCATTCTACCACTTGAGCCACAGTGCCACTTCTGGCCTTTTCTGTATTGAGAAATCAAACCCAGGGCTTCATGCATGCTAGGCAAGCACTCTACCACTAAACCACATTCCCAGCCCCTATTTTTTTATTTTTTATATTTTTTTTGCGGGGGCAGTGTCATACTGTGTAGCCTGGGCTGGTCTCAAACTCATGATCCTCCTGCGTTAGTCTCCTGAGTGTAGATTTTACAGATGAGTGCCACCATGCCCAGCAATATGTAGGTGGCTATTTCCAGATTCTTTTTTTTTTGGGGGGGGAGGGGAGGTCCAGTCGTGGGCCTGAACTTTGGCCTGGGCACTGTTCCTCAGCTCTTTAGCTCAAGGCTAGCGCTCTACCACTTGAGCCACAGCGTCACTTCCGGCTTTTTTTCCCCACTGCTTATGTGGTGATGAGGAATCGAACCCAGGGCCTCATGCATGCAAGGCAAGCGCTCTACCACTGAACCACCTTCCCAGCCCCTATTTCTAGATTCTTCTTTTCCCTTCCCTCCTCTCCTGGGTTCTGGGAATCAAATCTAAACCCTCGTGCATGTTAGGTAAGCATTTGAACTCTGAGCCAAATTCCTCTTTTTTGTTGTGGGTTTTGCAGTACTGAGGATTGAACTTAGGGCGCTACCACTGGAGCCATGCTCCTACCACTTGAGCCACACCTCTAGCTAAGTCTTTTCTTTTTTCCTGAAATGCTTTTAACACTATTCTGCTTTGCTCTATAATGATGGTGATGGAGGGCTGGGGATGTGGCTCAGCAGTAGAGCGGCTGCCTTGCAAGACCCTGAGTTCAAACCCCAGTATTACAAAAAGAAAAGAAAGCAAAACAAAATAACAGTGGTAGGTTTCACTGTGGGATCCAGGGAGGAAAGCCTGGGCTTTGCATATGAGGTGCAGTACCTGTGCAGCCACAGCACAGAGGGCTGGTGGTTCCTGTTACCCCTGTTGCTGCAGTTGGCTGCAGGCATGAGTCAGTAGGGTCTGTGGTCTGTGCTCAGCTGGCTGTGACAGTGACTATCTCTCCCTTCCTGCAGAACTCTATCCGACACAACCTCTCTCTGAACCGCTACTTCATCAAAGTCCCACGCTCCCAGGAGGAGCCTGGGAAAGGCTCTTTTTGGCGCATAGACCCTGCCTCAGAAGCCAAGCTTGTGGAACAGGCATTCCGCAAACGGAGGCAGAGGGGTGTATCCTGCTTCCGCACCCCCTTTGGGCCTCTGTCCTCACGGTAAGCCCCTGCTGCTGTCCTGAGTGTTCAAGAAGATGAGGTCCCGGGGCTGGTCTTGGCTTGTCAGACTGCCCCTTGACTGGGAGGCTGCCCCGGGACCAGTGCACAACTTCCAGACTATAGGCATCAGAACTTCTCCAGTGTGTACTCCCATGGCAGGGTCTCTGCCAGGGAAAAAGGGATAGAAGGCTCAGTGGATCCACTCTTTGTTGGCATGAGGAGACTCAGGGAAGCAGCAGCTGGCCCCTCTCTGGCACAGTGTAGGACCTTTGAGGGCAGATAGGAAGTGAGACTGGCATTGTCCAGAGTCTCCTCTGCTCTCTGGTGACGGGGCGAGTGTGGGGGTGCAGCGCAGTGCTGGTGGGCACGGTCACCAGCAGGCCCAAGCCTTCATCCTCCTGGCTGATGAATGCCTGGCCTTGCCTTTCCTGCTTGCTTTCTCCTGGCCATGCCCAATCCAGAGGAGCAGGCAACAATGGCTACGTGCTTCTTCCTACTTTGTAATCAGAAGGATGGCTGCTGGCACGGGCAGGAGTGGAGAGCACTCAGGAATTCCTCTGTGTTGCAGCCACCTCATTCTATAAGAGCTGGAGGCCCGATGGAGGTCTGGCCTGGGCTCCTCTCAGAGGAGCTGGTCCCAGTGACACAGCAGGAGCAGGGTCCTTGGACACAGGCAGCTGCCACTGGATCTCTCATTTGCTGGGAGCACAGATAACACAGTGTGTCCTCTTAATGGAGCCCCCTTCTTCCCTCTCCTCCCCCCCCCCCCCCCCCCCCCGGATTCCCACGTACAATATTGGCCATGGCCCACAGTGACACAGTGTTAGAGAAGCACCTGGAACGGGAGAGTTGACAGAGGAGCCCCAGGAAGGTGGGTGGGGATGGGGGATGGATACTGGGGTCACGTCCTGTCTGAGGTTCTCTATCCATGGCACACTTAGCACCGTGGTCCCTTCTGGCTCTTTGTCCTCTGTAGGAGCGCCCCAGCTTCACCCACTCACCCTGGGCTGATGTCCCCTCGTTCCAGCGGCCTGCAGACTCCAGAGTGCCTGTCTCGAGAGGGCTCCCCCATTCCACATGACCCAGACCTAGGGTCAAAGTTAGCCTCCGTTCCTGAGTACCGCTATTCCCAGAGTGCCCCCGGTAAGGCTTGCTTTCATCCACTTCTTGAAGATGACAGAATTCATCTAGCACTTGGAGTGGGTCTGGGCCTGTCCAGGTGATGATCAAGTGACTCTCTTCTCTCTCTGCTCCCTCCAGGCTCCCCTGTCAGCGCCCAGCCCGTGATTATGGCTGTACCTCCTCGACCTTCTAACTTAGTGGCCAAGCCTGTGGCCTATATGCCAGCCTCCATAGTGACCTCGCAGCAGCCCTCGGGCCACGCCATCCATGTGGTGCAGCAAGCCCCGACTGTCACCATGGTCAGGGTGGTCACCACCTCTGCCAACTCAGCCAACGGCTACATCCTTGCCAGCCAGGGCCCGGCAGGTGGTGCCCATGACACGGCAGGCACAGCTGTGCTGGACCTGGGCAGCGAAGCAAGAGGTAACAGTGCTGCTGCTGGCCTGTCTACCAGGGTGTGGCCCAGCCGGCTAGCCTGGCACTGTGGGCCCGAGCCTCAGGTTCAGAGCCACCCTGTGGGGCAGCACTCGGCCCCGTGTGGCAGGGCCTCGGACACACAGTGGCATGATTGGTTCCCTCCAGGCAATGCTGAGTTAGGTTGTGCAGTCTCTCTCCTCTCTCCTTCTCTTCTCTCTCCATTTGGAATCGGGGTCCCACCGATCTCCCTGCCTCAGCCTCCTGAGTGCTGGGGTGACGGGTATGGTCGCCATGCCTGCTGCACAGATCTGGAATTTAGTGTTTTCAAAGGAAGGGGGCGCATGCCGGGAGGAAGTCTCTGCCAAGGCCTCGAGTGCCAAGTTTTTGGGAGACATTAGGACTGAGAGTCAGGTCTGGTTCCCTAGGATAAACCTGATCTTGAGGACTTCCAGGGTGGGTATACCTAATTCCGAAACACGCCCTCTTGGGAGGCCTTGGGTTGACTCAGTCTCAGCTCATTTTATCTTAAAGTTGTGGTGGGAACTCTGTCTCAGTGAATGAATGGCTTTAGGAGCCAATCCTCGCATTTCCAAAGAATGTTTTCTTGCCCAGAGTAAATTTAAGCCAAGCATGGTAGCTCATACCTGTAATTCTAGCTACTTGAGAGGCAGAGATTGGGAGGATGGTGGTTTGTGGTCCAGTTGGGCAGAAAAGTTAGTGCCCCCATCTCAGTCAGCAAGCTGGGGTACATGCCCATAATTCAACCTACCCAGGAGGCGTAGGCGAGAACCGGAATCAGGCTGGTCCCTGGCAGAAGTGACCCTATCTCCATAACACCTAAAGCAGAGAGGCTGGAGTATGGCTCAAGTGGTAGAGCATCTATGGAGCAAGCTTGAGGCTCTGAGTTCAAACCCCACCCCAGTAGACAGACACACACACACACACACACACACACACACACACACACACACACACACACACACACACACACACACACACACACACACACACACACACACACACACACACACACACACACACACACACGTACGTGCTTAAAGTTCAAGGTCTATTCTAAAACCCAACGAATGGGTCTTCTTTGGCAACCTGTTTCCATGGTGAGGATCTCCTCGGAGCAGTTTTCCCCACTGCCACTCTGTCCTCACCCAGATCCTCTGCCAAGGCCACATGGGAGCTGATGGCCTCTCTGCCCTGGAGTGTTTCTCATCCACTGCTGCCCCACAGGTTTGGAAGAGAAACCCACCATTGCATTTGCCACGATCCCTGCAGCCAGTCGTGTCATCCAGACAGTAGCCAGCCAGATGACCCCAGGCGTCCCTGGGCACACGGTCACCATCCTGCAGCCAGCCACGCCAGTGACCATCGGGCAGCACCACCTCCCGGTCAGGGCCGTCACGCAGAACGGGAAGCACACTGTGCCCACGAACAGCTTAGCCGGCAACACTTACGGTGAGGCCTGGCCCATCCTCCAGCCCCATCTGGCCTAGCCACATGGCCTCCCACCCCATCAGAGCACCCTCGTGCCAGGCCCTGCCAGTGATACAGGAAAGGCCCCGAGGGTACCTGTGCCCTACCTGCCATAAGGCTGCTTCCCCCTTGACTGACTGGGGTGAGGCCAGTGGTTAGAGAAGGTCGGCCAGCACAGGGCAGGGAGCCGGGGGTAAGGGGGAGCCAGGATGTCTCAGGTCCAGGCAGAAGCAGAGGTGTGGGGGCCCAAGGCCAGGCTCCGGCCAGCTGGAGGGGTGAGCATGGGGCTTCCCCCCTGCATGGCGGGGGATAGAGGGCAGTGTGGGGGTCTGCTGAGTCCACTGAGCATTCTGTGTCAGACCTGCCAGGGTTGGTCCTGCCAGACCCCCGTGTGACCTCCTCTCCCTCCACCCCCAGCCCTCACCAGTCCCCTGCAGCTCCTGGCAGCCCAGGCGAGTTCATCCACGCCGGTGGTGGTCACCCGGGTGTGCGAGGTGGGGCCCGAGGAGCCAGCTGCAGTTGTTGCCGCCACAGCGGCCAGTACCACGCCGACCCCAGCCACCTCCACTGCCGCCCCCAGCTCTTCCAGCGGGGAGCCCGAGGTCAAGAGGTCCCGGGTGGAGGAGCCCAGTGGGACAGCCGCCACGCAGGCCACAGTGATGGCAGCCGCCGGCTCCCAGGGCCCCGGTACTGGGGAGTGACGCCACCCGCAGAAAGGTGGAGTGGGCCTCGCATACAAGAGCCCGCACGTGGGCCGCATGGTGGGCCGAGGTGAGACGCGCAGCCACTGCTGCACCCAGACGCTTTGCATTTTATCTCCTGTCCTCCCATGGTTTGAAACAAAACATAAATCCGTTCAGACAACTGATTGTATGTTCTGGGGGTTCTGTGTGCTTATTTCCCTCTTCCTCGCACCACCACCACCTCCCCCAGCCCCTGGGGCCTGGAGAAGGGCATCCGGAGAAGGTTCTAGCCCAGAGCCTCAGCAACCACCATGGCCCCCTGCCTGCAAGGACGACGGCGCCCCAGCTTCAGGTCTGTGGCGGTAGCTGCCACATGGGACTGGACGAAGCACAGCGAGTGCATGCCGAGACTGCCCCCCACAGGACTGGCACGAACCCCTGCTTGTGGTCATTGGGAACAGCCAAGAGAAAGGCCGGACTGCCAAACTGCACGCTGCTTTGTGGGGTCCCTTCCCCCAAAGCCACAGAAAACATCGGCATTAACTGGGGTACAAGCATCGACTTCAGCTTTGGGCCCTGAGCACTTCTTGATACATTTAGCCCTGGAAGCGGGGCTCCTCCCACAGAATGGGGCACAGGTCCAGGTGCCTGAGCATCAGCTCCTGCGAGGCCACCCTGCCGCTCTGCTCGCTAACTTAAAGAAGGATCAGCAGCTCCACTGGGTCCCACACCAGCCAGGCCTGACCCTAAGGGCTCAGGTGAACGTGACTCACCAGGGCAGAAGGGATGGCCTTGCAGGCCTGCCGCTCCAGCATCCTCCCCTCCATATTCCAGCTTGCCTGGATGTCAAAGCCGCCCATGGTTTGGAACTGGGACTGTCTCTGCCGAAGCCCAGGCTCAGGTCAGTGAGTGGAAAAGAGGCAACCTCCTCACCTTTCTGGTTGTGCTGGTCAACCCACCCATTGTAACCCAAGAGCAGGAGACTCAGGTCTCGAGTCCATCGCCGGATGTTCCTGTGGTCCCCCAATGAGATCAGAGCCCCTCTTGTGAAGTAGCTGAGTGAAAGCTGGCTCTGTGGTATTCCGCCAAGATGGACCGCAAGGGACAGCAGCACACTGGACATGGAGTTCCCAGAAATACAACCTGAGCGGGGCACAGCGCCCCCTGCTGGGGACGTTTCCGGGGCAGCACTGGGGCACCACAACCAGCCCCTGGCAGACAGGCCCAGTAGGGCCCACTGTCTGCTGGTAGAGGGAACCCACCTGGACGTTGAGCAGGAATCCAGCTGTACTCCGGTTCCCAGGCAGGAGGGCAGGTAGGCAGCAGGGAGCAGCCCCTGCCTCTCAACACCAAAGTCACTGGCCCTACCGGAGACCAGTGCTAAGTGTCTGAGGTGAGAAGTGGCGGCCTGGGCCTGGTGTGCGCCTGAGCTTTCCATGTGGCGTGCGTGGGAGGGGTGGCGGGTGGGGGGGGGGTCAAGAGGGCAGGAATGGGCAGCTAGGTCTGAGAGAAAGTTGTTTCTGTGGGCTGAGGCCACCACAGCCAGAGCCAGCCCTGCCAGTCGAGGACAAGGTCACCTTGTCACACTGTTCTCTTCCTCAGTCACCATCTCTTCGCAGAGTGCACATAGTCTCCGAGATGGATTCCTTGTCTTGGATTGTCCCTATGTGGTGGCCCCACACAGAACCCCATGCAGTGGCTGTGCAAGGTCTTGGCAGTTGGGCTCTATTTGTTGTGGTGGCTGCTGAATTACTCTGATCTCCATCACCACTGCCACGGCCTGGGAGAAGCGGGGAGGAGGCAGGAATGGGAGGGAGTTTGCAGCTTGATTGGGGTGACGGGGCATGTCTCGAGGATGTTGGGTCATCCCCAGTGGGCTTGTGTCAGAATCTGTCCTGGAATCAGTAGGCAGAGGCCCAGAGCAGCCAGCGCCCGGAGGGCACCGTCCAGCAGAAGGTTTCTGATGAGCTGTGGGATGGCAGGCAGAGCGCAGTGGGCTCTGCCAGGGCGGCCTGGGACCCCGCAGCATGGGCGCACATCCGGTGAAGGTGGGCTGGCCCAGCCAAAGGGTCACATGGGGCTCCAAACCTTAGCGGTCTGTGGTCCAGCCGGCAGAGCTCTGAGCAGGCCCCTCTCATCCTGCTGTTGACTGGGCACCCTCACCTGCCAGGCACCTGGTTACCCACCCTCCGCTTTCGCTGTCTGCACCCCACAGACCCCACACCTGCAACAGGGCATCATGGCCAGGCAGGGAGTCACAGAAGAAATGAGCGTGAAAGTGGAGCACATCCCACGCAGGCCAGCTGGTGTGCGGCGTGCACGTGCACGGAGCTGAGGACCCCTTCTCCCCACACACCACCATGCTCAGGCCGCGGGTGCCAGCCTGGCATCTCAGGCACAGCTTGTGTTTCTGCCTGCTGTTGTGGCACTTTTCCTTCAGGCAGACACACCGGGGTGGTCCTGTGGAGTGAGCATGGGGAGCGGTGGGCTTCTCTCCTTCTTTTTACCCCTAAAGAGCTCAAGGCTGATCACAGGTACCTTGCAGGTATCCCTGGGCGCATGGAGGGACCCGGGCTACAATGTCACCTGAGGCTGGCGAGGGGTCCTCCTTGGTTAGAGACCAGTACAAGAAGACACAGGGAGCTGTGGCTGGGAGCGAGCGCTCCGCCTCAACTCACCCCTTGCCTCACCTCATTCCCCCTCATTTCCCCCTCACCTCGCCCCCGTCCCACCCCTGACTTGCTTGCTGTTGGGCTGCCCAAGGTTCTGCTCGGGTTGGCCAGCCCAGGCTGCTGTGCCCTCACCTTGGCTTAGGATGGCAGAGCGTTCACCCAAAGCCCAGCACCCTGGGCCGGGCCTCCTTTAGAATACCTCTGCCTAGAAGCAATATTACCCAGAGAACAACTACAGTTGTTCCCACTGCTGCTATGAAGACAGGGCTGCTATGGATAGGCTCGGCTCAGGGCCCTCGGGGTGAGGGCTGAGCACGGGCGGTCACAGCGCTGCCCCGCCTCGTTTCCATCTGTCATTTTCACATTTGTCCCCGTCCTGTCGCTCCTGTTCCCTTTTCTAAGTCCCTTGCTCTGGGCCTTGTTCTCACAGTGGAGTTTTTAAGTGCTCAGGACACAGTTCTCACTGGGGCGCTGTGCAAGATATCAGTACCAAAAGCTGCTGTGTTGGCTCGGGAGGGTGTGGTCCCCATGCTGGCCAGATGGGTCACCAGGGCCGCAACTATAAGCTGACACACTGGGCTGTGTGCCTCATGAGGCGCCCAGGGCCTGTGGTGTGGGCAGTTAGATGAGTGTCCTGTTCAGAGCTGCTTTCCTTCCGCTCTCCTGCCTCCCTCCAGCCCCAGGCCAGTGCCGCTTGCTGAGTGACCACACATTGCCTCTGAACTGACGCTAAAACTCAGCCCATGTCACTGATATGGTTTAGAGAAAGTATATTTCATGTTGAAAAAATAAGAGTCACTGGTTGTGTTGGGGTACTGGTGGCTGTGGTCTGCCCAGCGTGGTTTCTCTGTGGTCTTTCTGTTGGAGGGAACGTTCTAGAATCACATCCCAGGTGGTCAGGGTGCAGCAGCCAGGGCACTGCTGCCCTAGAGGCCAGGCCAGCCAGAAGTGCCACTTGGGGTCCCCTGGGAGTGGTGTATAGTGTGGGGTGTGGAGGGCAGCTGGGAAGAGCTGTAGGGGAGGGCAGTCAGCGGTGCTGCTGTCAGTTGACAGTTTTTGTGCTTTTTAGTCTCTTTCTGGGCTGCTACGTGTGTGTAGTCCACAGGAAAGCAGGCATGCGCTTTGCTTTATTTTTAGGCATTCCCCACTCCTGGGAGAGACCTCATCCCCAGGACATGCTTCTGTACCTGCCTGGCATTCCAGCAACAGGGAAAATGCATGGGTTTCCAAGCGCGTATCTGTCCTTGGGTCAGGAGCTCAGCATTGGCTGCATAGGACCCCAGGAGCCCAGATCACCCCAAACCTCTTCAGCCCAAGGTGTCTGAATAGAAGAGAAAGTCAGAGGAGAATCCAAGGAGTGCTGCTTTTTATTCTTACCCTGGTTTTGGTTTCTGGAAAAATCCAACATTGCTTGGATGTGTCCTCCAGGACATGAGGCAGCCAGGGGACAAGTCTGGGTAGTGTGGTGTCCCAGGGCCCGGCTCCACCAAGGGACCTTCTCCCCTCCCCACACAGAAGGCACTTGTCCAGAGTAGGCCACGACTGGCACTGTCCCCAAATTCCTGGATGTGGTGGTTTTCCTGCGTGGTCTCCCAACTGAGCCCACAGCTTCTGAGATCCTGGCTTAGCGGGATCAATAAAATGAAATCTTTGAAATTCGCCCTTCTCCCCCTTCTTCTCCCGGGAGGCATTATGGACCCCTCGAGACCTTGGCTTGGTTCCTGTTTCAGGAAAGGGTTGTGTAGGGAGGAAAGGAGACACCAAAAGCTGGGTTCCAGACTTTTTGCAGCTCTGCAGGAGGGGTTAAAGCCAATACTGAGATTGTTCTTCTTACCTGAATAATTTTCCTGTAAAAAATTTTTTGGGGGGGCAGGTGATGTTTGGGAAGTATGTATGAATGTGTGTGTGTGTGCGTGTGTGTGTGTGTGTGTGTGTTTTATTTTTACATTGGCTGTCTAAAGTATTTTCATGATATGTTTAATTATCAATGCTTTTAAAAAGCAGTGGTATCCGTGGAATTCCGTGGGGGTTCTGGTTCCAGGGCATAGGGTGTGCCCCCTATTTGTGGGTGACACACCACCCAGGGGCAGAGTACCCCAGCTCCTGGGATCAGGAAAATCAACCAGCCCACGTGGCATGCAGCCCACCCACTTGGGTTCATTTCAAATGGGATACAGTATTTTTTTATTACGGAGCCATACATTTTTTTTTTTTAAGTTTGAGATCTGAATGTGATTTCTAATTGTATCAGACGTTAATGTTTTAAAGCTATAACAAAGGTTTAAAATTTCTACTTTTTGTTTTTCATTTAACTGTTCTTTTATCTATTAAATTGTTGTATGTGGATGGGGAAGTTTTGTTTCTCCTCTTAGCATTTGTTTCTATAACCAGAAATAAAATTATATATTAAAGAAACAACAGCAAGGCTGTGTGGGTCCTTGTGAGTGGGTGGCTGTGGACCCCTAAGGGATGGACGGGACAGGTGAGGGGACATGACTAGTTTCTCTCTCTATCTCTCTGTCTCTTTCTCTCACCATCCCCCTCACTCCCACCCCATTTGGGGAGTACTCCCATGATAGACTTTGGGACCGAGGGTGGAGAGGGGTACAGAGAACCTCCACGTAGTCAGGAACTGTATGGAAATCAGCCCTGGCCAGAAAAGAGCAAAGGTTACAACAGCAGTGTAACACTCCCTGTTGAAGCTGCAGATAGCATGGTGGGAGAGCAATCACTTGCCCAGCATGTACAAAGGCTCTGGGTTCCATCCTGAAGCACCACCAACAAAACAAACCTCTCAATTTACCTTCGGTACGTGGACATTGAGTTCGTTTAAGATTTGTGCACCTTGGAAGTGGCTCTGTGGCTCAAGTGGTAGAGCACTAGCCTTGAGCTGAAGAGCTCAGGAACAGCATCCAGGCCTCTGGAGTTCAAGCCCCATGACCAACTAAAAAAAAAAAAAAAAAGATTTTTGCATCACACTGCACTTTACCTTACCCAGCACGAAACATGAGCACATGTAAAGCTTCCCTTCCTGTAAATGTGCAGCTTCCCAGGCTTCTAGTCCTGCCCCACTCCTGTCTCTCTCCATACTCAGCATCAGCTCCTCAAAACCATGTATGGATTTCTCCTGTCCCTTTCCATCCCCCCCCCCCCCCCCTCCCAGCATCTTCTCAGTGTTGTCTTCTCAAAAGCCTAACCCTGGGTCTAAAGAACACCCATATCTAAGCCCTGTGCTGCTCCAGGAACCTAAACATTGCCCAGCCTGGGTGAGGTGCAGTTTGTGCTTGCTCACCGAATCCTTTTCTGCCCCAATACCACATGGGGAGCAGCAGCCAGTGCTCATCCAGTCTGCTGCTTGCCCTCTACTCCCACTCTTCCTCCTGCTCCACCATCCAGATGTCAAATCATCAGGGCCTTACAAGTCCCAAACCAGGTTTTTAGACCTCAGGCTTCCAAGACCCGAGAGATTCAAATTAGGTCTGGCTACTCATTCCCACGTGCCAAATCAAGAAACAGGATCAAAGGCAGAGAAAGGAGATTTATTCCATGGCATCCTTGCGAAGACAGCGCTTCAGAGCTTCAGTGTCCTCAGGGTACAGGGAGTTGAGGCCGGGGTGAGGAAGGTACGCATAGTTAAAACCGTCCCAAATCGCAGGTGTGGCTTGGTTGACTCAGTCTTTGACCTTGGAGGAGTGTCTGAGAAATTGTCAGAACAATTGTTAAACATTACTTGTTTGAGAGGCAGTCTACCTTCCACACAAGGTGGTCATCAGGGACTGCGGTCTTTCTTGGAGCCCATGGTGATGTAAAGTTGACTGTGGCAGAGTCTAGCTCCGACCACGAGGATAGGTACAAAGTGGGGAACTTGGCTACTTCACAGGGGCGGCAAAAGTAGCCTTGATAGATTGGTGACTGAATCCCCTCCAGCGCCATCCGCCATCCGCGCAGCCTCCACCCCGCCGGGCCTGACCGCGGCCGGACACCGCCGCGCCCCGAGGCCGGCCCAGGCCTCACCTTCGAGAACGCAGTGACGCCCTGCCGTGGGAGGGGAGGGGGCGAATAAAGCTTTCACTTGATTTGGTTTATTCTCTTGGGGGGGGGGGGGGAGAGGGCACAGGACTGGAGGGAAGGTTTTTAACGCGGTACAGTCCAAGGCCGGGGCTAAATATACCGAGGAGCCTTAAAAAATAAGCTGCTAAATGCGGCGGTGGCGGCCGCGCCCCGCGCCCCGCGCCCCGCAGGAGGGAGGCCTGCTCCGCGGGCCGCGCAGCTCGCGCCATTTCTCCAGACACGTGCACAAACGAGCCAGCACCGGGACAAGGGCTCTTTAAGGGCCGAGTCGCCCCCGGAGGCCCCGCCCCCCGGAGTCCATCGCGAGATGTCCCGAGGTCGAGGAGTGAGTGCCAAGGAAGGCTACAGTTCCGGAACGCAGAGGTTTCGTGGCCCACGAGGACACCGGGTGGGGCGCTTCCAGGCCCGCCCCCATAGGCTCTTCCCCGAAGTCCATTGGCTGGGAAGCTAGCTGCCGGTCACTCACGTGAGGCGGCACCGGAAACCGTGCCGCTCGCGCTACCGTTCGCCCGGATTGGGTGGTGTGTCACACGTGACACCACCCCAGCAACCAGAGACAGGTCTGCCCCTCCCCGTGACGTGCTCAAGGCGAAGCCTTCGCGTGCGTGCGGAGGCGCGACTCGGTCACATGATGCGTCACGTGACACGACCCGGAAGTCCTGGAAAGGCGGGGGATGTTCACGGCCGCCGCGGAGAATCTGCTCCACCAGGCCAGGTGCGCGCAGCCGCGGGCGGGCGAGGACGGGAGCTGCTCTGTGCCACGCCGGGGCCGCCGCCGGCAGGGAGTTCCAGAAGGGGCGAGCGGAGGCGGGCAGGACCCGCCGCGGGGAGCGGCCAAAGGCTTGGAGCGGCCTGGGTCGTTCGACTGCGGCTAGGCAGGCCCAGCTGCCCCCGAGCTGCGGAGCCCAGCGTCGGGCTGTGACGCTCGGCCGAGAAGTAACCCCCCCACCCCCCCACCTCACCCATCTCCAGGCCCTAGTAGTCGATAGCCTGCAGAACCCCAAACCACTGGGAGTAGTTTAAAATGTAAACAGGCCTGTAGCCCGACGCTGGTGGCTCACGCCTGTAATGCTAGCTACTCAGGAGGCTGAGATCTGAGAACCGTAGTTCAAAGCCAGTCAGGGCAGGAAAATCTCTGAGACTCTGATCTCCAATTAACCTCCGAAAGAGCCAGAAGTGGAGCTGTGGGTCAAGTGGTGCAGCCTTGAGCTTAACAAAGCTCAGGGACAGTGCCCAAGCCCTGAGTTCAAGCCCCAGAAGTGGCACGCTCACGCGCGTGCGCGCACACACACCACCAAAACATGGGGGGAAAAGGTCCCCGTCTAGAGAGGGGGACTGTGTTAGAGGCCCCTCATAGTCACCCTAAGTCTCCCAGGATTGAAAATCCATACTCTTAGCTTTCTCCACTAGTTAGGAACATGGCTGGCAGATCCTTGTCACTCAGCACCTACCCAGGGTTCCTGGGTGGGTGACGCCTCCTGACGCTTTTTCTTCCTCAGGGAAATCCAGGATGAGGAGCTGGGTAGATTCTGCGCCGGAGTCAGTAAGCTGCTGCAGGAGGCCCCTGGGCCTGCCACTGTGGATGCCTTGCAGAGGCTTTTCCTCATTGTCTCTGCCACCAAGTACCCCCGAAGGTGAGTACACCAGCAGACCCCAAATCTATACCCAACACGACTGGGGAGATTGACTACAGGTTGATGCTTTGGTGTCTCAGTGTGAAAAGTGTTCAGAAACACTGTTCATGGCAATGAGTGGCCTAATGATAGAGTACATGCTTAGCATGCATGACACCCTGGATTTGATTCCTTGGTACCACATAAATACAATAATAAATAATTTTAAAACAAAAGAAAAAATATTTTTTGGTCGGTCATGGGGCTTAAACTCTGGGCCTGGGCACTGTCCCTCAGCTCTAAAGCTCAAGGCAAGCATTCTACCACTTGAGCCACAGCTCCACTTCCTGTTTTCTGGTGGTCAGTTGGAGATAAGAGTCTCATGGGCTTTCCTGCCCAGGCTGGCTTTGAACCGCAATCCCCAGATCTCAGCCTCCTGAGTAGCTAGGATTACAGGCATGAGTCACTGGTGCCCAGCAGAAGTGTATTCTTTATCTGACTTACATACTGTAACTCCTCTGCACGTCACCTTAAAAAAAAAAAAAAGAGGGCTGGGAAGGTGGCTCAGTGGTAGAGCGCTTGCCTTGCATGCCTGAGGCTCTGGGTTTGATTCCTCAGCACCACATAAGCAAAAAGAAAAAAGCCGGAAGTGGCGCTGTGGTTCAAGTGGTAGAGTGCTAACCTTGAGCTAAAGAGCTGAGGGACAGTGCCCAGGCCGAGGTCAGGCCCCACAACCAGATCCAAAAAAAATTAAAAAAAAAAAAAAAAAAAAGAAACACTTCATCTCTAGACACACTCAGGCCAGCTCTCCTGAGCTTGCTGTGACTTGACGTGTCACCCGTGGGTTGCTGGGGGGTCTCATTTTCAGGTTAGAGAAGTCATGCGTGGACTTGCTGCAGACCACTCTCTGCCAGCCCTCCTGCCCCGAGCAGCTCCAGGTCCTCTGTGCCGCCATCCTGAGGGAGATGTCCCCCTCGGACAGCCTGACCCTTTCCTGTGAGCATGCCCAGAAAACCCAGCAGTTGAGCCTCGTGGCCTCTGTGCTTCTGGCCCAGGTAACACATTTTCATCACTTGGGGTGACCATCCTGTCTGCTGATGGTCCTGGGGCCTCTTGGTTTAATTTTTTTTTTTTTTTGATCAGTTGTGGGGCCTGAACCCTGGGCCTGGGCGCTGTCCCTCAGCTCTTCAGCTCAAGGCTAGCGCTCTACCATTTGAGCCACAGCGCCACTTCTGGCTTTTTTCTTTTTGCTTATGTGGTGCTGAGGAATTGAACCCAGGGCCTCATGCATGCAAGGCAAGCACTCTACCACTGAGCCACCTTCCCAGCCCCTCCTGGGGCCTCTTGGAAGGGCAGCCAGGGGCATCCATCTCGGAGTGTCCCTGAATGTTTCCCATTCTGTCACCAGTTGTTACCACTGTCGCTAAAAAGAGCCCACTCCTGCCTGCCTGGGAAGCCACCCCAGGCACTGTTGAAAGCTAAGTCAGGCCTCAAGGTCTGCGCTGCCCAGGTGACATTCCTGGGCACACGTGACCGTGGCATTGGAGCAGCAGTCCCCTTTCCAGATGTTTCCAGAGCAAATGCCATGCTGCTGGGAGTGCTGGGCACAGGAGGTGGCTCTGCAAGGGAGAGGACATGGGTGACTGGGAAAGTGGGTCCAGAAGCTTCCCTTCTAGAAGCTGATCCCTCCCTCATGTGTCCCAGAAGGGCAAGGGAGCCCTTGTCTTAAGTGATGAAGGCACCCACTGGGGTACATGTGATAGTCACGTAAGGCACTCATGTGGCTGACTAGTGACCCGGGCTGTGACAGTGGTAGGCAGAAGCAAGCTGTTTCTGTCCCCTGACTCCCGAATCACAGGGAGCAACCCCCCCCCCCCCCCCCAAATAGCACATCTCCACCTGCTTCCCTCCATTTTTCTTTCTTTCTTTCCTTTTTTTTTTGTCATCTGGGCCTGGGTGCTGCCCCCGAACTCTTTAGCTCAAGGCGAGTGCTCTACCACTTGAGCCACAGCACCACTTCCAGTTTTCTGGTGGTTTATTGGAGATAAGAGTCTCATGGACTTCCCTGCCCAGACTGGCTTTGAACCGTGATCCTCAGATCTCAGCCTCCTGAGTAGCTAGGATTACAGGTGTGAGCCACCAGTGCTTGGCTGTTTATTCTATTTATTTATTTATTTATTTTTGAGACAGGACATCGCTGTGTAGCCCAGCTTGGCCTGGGATTACAGGTGTGCACCACTGCACCCAGCAGCTATGTTTATCTTCAAGTACTGGCTTTTCTTTTTCCAGCAGCTTCCTTGTGGAAAAGCCTGGGTCCATCCTCTATGGTCCCCTTGGCCTGGACTGAGTGGATAGCCTTGGGGTGGGGTCTCCTGTACCCCCTCACTGGAGGAATTGGGCCACATCCAGGCTGGGAGGCTTTTCAGAGGGGCTTCGGGGATTTGGCACTGTCAACCCTTGCTCTACAACAGGAGCAGATCGGGATGCTTTGCTGGGGCCAGCCCTGCAGTCCCCATGGGAGAGGCTTTGCTTCTTCCCATCTTAGGTGCCAGGTGCACTGCAGCTGCCTGTGAAGTGCACACCTGGGCAGGGTCCTCCTGGGAAGGCGGGGCAGACTCCTCCCTCTTGGCTAAGTTTCCACCCAGTACCTGAGTCACCGAGGTGCCTGATCCCCCTGGAGGCAGTCACTTCCCTCTCCTCCGAGTTCACATCCTGGACCATCCCTAGTCAAGCAGGTACTGGAAAGAGACTTAGCCAGGAGGAGGCAGGAGTCTGCCCCAGCTTCCTGCCTAGCAGTTGCACTGATAGATTGACTGATTGATTGAGTGCCTGGAACTCAGGGCTTTGTGCTTTCACTTGACCTTTTTGCTGAAGGTGGCACTCTGCCACTTGACCCACAGCTACACATATAGTGGCTTTATGCTGGTTCATTGGAGAGAAGAGTCTCACACACTTTCCTGCCTGGGCTGGCTTCAAACCATGAATCTTTGTATCTCAGCCCTCCTGAGTCGCTTGGATTATAGTTGTGAGCCACTGACCCCTGGATGCCCAGAACTTCTACAGCCACCTGTCTGCCAGGCCCCAGCAACTGATGTGCTGTGCCCACTGTGAGGCAGATGACATTGGAGCCCCTTGACCATGTGGCCCAGCCTTGTCCCCTGTGGGGGTTGCTTGTCTCTGCCATGGGTTGTCTCTGGATATTCCCCTCTTCTGGAGAAGGGGACCCACTCCTGTGTGTGGGTGAGTTGTTGCTTAGCGCTTGCTTTGTTTGGTTTGCAGGGTGACAGGAGACAGGAGGTCAGAAGTGTGGGGCAGCGCATCTGCACTGTCCTCGAAAGCCGGCAGCTGGATGGATCCAGCCTCAGACCTCTCCTCCCCATCGTGTCCAAGGTTGTGGGCCTTGCCCCAGACACCCTCCAGAGTGGTGCGTGCCCCTGCCACGTTGCCAGGGGAGGTGGGAGAGTGGGGCTTCTGCATGGCCCGGCTTGTGCATGAGCAAGCTCAGTGAGCAAGCTCAGGGGAGGCCGTGGATCTGCAGTACCTCACCCTGCTCCTCCCTGAACCCCACTCCCACAGACCACACTGACCTGCTCAGCAAGAGGCTGGTGGACTGGCTCCGCTACGCCAGTGTCCAGCAGGGGCCTCCACACTCGGGGGGCTTCTTCTCCACACCCCGGGCCCGGCAGGTGAGGCCTGAAGATGTCAGGGAGCCCCTGACACCCTGCCCCCAAGCAGCCTCTAGTCCATCCTTCTCCTCCATCTGCGGTCTGTGTGGTCAGGGCCAGCCCTGTAGAGGCCGCGTGACACGGACCCTGGGGACAGTGTGGTGTTCCTGCATGTTGAGGCGTAGTGCTGTCACATCCTGTGCTCTCTTAGGATGGGGCAGTGGTGTGGACCCCATCCCCTGCAGCTTCCCCCCGTCCTTCCTCCCGCAGCCAGGCCCCATCACTGAGGTGGACGGGGCAGTGGCCTCAGACTTCTTCACAGTGCTGTCCACGGGCCAACACTTCACGGAGGACCAGTGGCTCAACGTGCAGGCCTTCTCCCTGCTGCGGGCCTGGCTGCTGCACAGCGGGCCTGTGGACCCGGGGAGCCCTGACACAGGTGTGCCCCAAGGAAGGCAAAGATCCGGTGAGGGTGGGGAAAGGTTGCCGGGCCCAGATGCCCCAGACGTGCTGCAGACTACCGAGAGCCTGCCTGGCACGGGTCAGTCGCCACCCAGCTGCCCTGGGATGCCTTCACACACCCAGGGTCCCCCTACAGAGGTGGCAAGGCTTGGGAGATTTTGGAGACAATGTCAACCAAATTCCACCTTGTCCATAAGTCCTTGGTTTATAGGTTCAAAACCAGCCCGGGCAGGAAAGTCCGTGAAACTCTGATCTCCAATTAACTACCAGAAAACCAGAAGTGGTGCTATGGCTTAAGTGGCAGAGCACTCACCTTGAGCAAAAGAGCTCAAGGACAGAGCCCAGGCCCCAAGACCAACAGAAAGCAAACAAAAAAATCAAGTGTTTCAGACAGTGTAGACTTAGCATGAGAAATGTCAGCTAATAGCCAAGTGTGGTGCTGCATGTCTAATCCTAGGATCCCGTGCTGCCCATCTACACCTGCCATCCCCTCAGCCCTGTTTCCCCACAGATGACAAATCGGAGCTGGAGGGCTCCACCCTGTCGGTGCTGTCCGCGGCCTCAACAGCCAGCCGTCTGCTGCCCCCGAGGGAGCGGCTGCGGGAGGTGGCCTTCGAGTACTGCCAGCGCCTCCTCGAGCAGAGCAATCGGCGTGAGTCCCTGGGGCCAGGGCCCGTCTTGTGGGGTGCTGCCCAGAGGCCGGGCCCCACCCCTGCGCGCTCCCTGGCTCTGGTGGGCAATCACTGTCCCCGAATGCAGGACCAGGACGTCTTCTCTCAGGGCAGCATTGAGGTTGACCTCCCTCTTCCCTCCCTCCCTCTTCCCCCCCCATCCTCTACCCTCCCTCTCCCATTCTCTCTCCTGCCTCCTCCCTCCCAGGAGCACTGAGGAAGGGGGACTCTGACCTGCAGAAAGCTGTAAGTGGCCAGTGGGGCAGGATGGGATGGTGGGGGATGAGACAGTGGGGGGTGCAGAGCCAAGCCCCTGTGACACAGCCTGGTGCCCCCTCAGTGTGTGGTGGAGGCCGTGCTGGTTGTGGACGTGCTGTGCCGGCAGGAGCCGTCCTTCCTCTACCGCGCCCTGTCCTGCCTAAAGGCCCTACACACACAGCTGGGCACAGACGAAGGCAGTGAGCGGGCCCTGCTAGCACTCGCCCAGTTCTTCCTGAACCACGGTGAGGCCTGGGGTGGGGAGGCCAGGGCTGGGAGGCTGATGTCGGGAGGCCCTCCTGCGGAGGCTCTTAAGCTTCACTCGGGAAGCGAGGTTTATTCCAGGCCCTCTTGGCACCAAATGGTGTCACAGTTACATTTTTGAATAGCAGAATGAAAGTGTCATGCTTGGACATCTCTGCTCAGTCGTGGATGGGCTGTGAAGCCCTGTGTGGCCTTGAAGGATGGCTGGGGACAGCCCTGTGGGATGTGTCCTGAAAGGAAGCACAGACAGCCCTAGACTGCGCTGACGTGCCAGCAGGTGGAAAGCGTCCTGCAGCCACTTTGCCCTGATGAGGTTGCGCTTTCCAGGGGAGGCGGCTGTCGTGGGCGCAGACGCGGTATACCAGCGCCTCTTCACCCGGCTGCCCGCGGAGCACTTCCACAGCCCCGTGCTGGCCTTCGAGGTGGTCCGGTTCTGTGTGGACAACCTGGGCCTGTTCCCCTCCCCCCTCCTCGGCCTTCTCAAGTCCAGCTTCCCTAATCTCTTCAAGGTACTGGGGGGGGGGGGGGTGGATGCCAGGGCCCAGTGCTCTGCCCTCTAGTTAGTCTCAGCAAGAACGGCGAGGCACATGGCACCATCCCTGGCTTTGTTATCTTGTCTTTATAAAGTTTGCGTGGACAGGTGGGTCATCTGTGGTACAGGGATTTGAACTCAGCGCCTCACGATTCCTAGCAGGCGCCCTGCAATTGAGTTATGTCCCCCCCCAGCCCTTTTTGCTTTATTTTTCAGGTAGAGTTTTGAATTTTTGCTCTGGGATATCCTTGGTCTTTGATTTTCAACTTAGGCTTCTTGAGTAGCTGATATTACAGACAGAACTGCCATACCTGGCTTGATGTGGAGATGGGGGGTCCTGAGTTTGGGCCCAGGCTGACCTCAAACTGCGATCCTCCTGATCTCTACCTCCTGGCTTTTTTGCTTTTGGGATAGGATCTTACCAACTTCACCCAGGCTGGCTTCTACTCAGTGATCTCCCTGCCACAGCTTCCCAAGCGCTGAGATTACAGATGGATGCTACCACACCTGGCTTAGCCATGAGGTCTCCGTGCCTGGCACATTCAGCCCTTAAATGCTGTAACTTGTAAACTGGCACTTCAGTGGGCATCTGTAGTAGAAAATGATTGATTTGATCTCCAGTATAAACATGGCTGCAGAAGAAAAACTAAAACAGTAGAAGGAGGGTTGCGATGGAACAGTTAGAAACAAGTCTAGGCCAGGGAAGGTGGCTCAGTAGAGTGTTTGCTTTGCATGCATGAGGCTCTAGGTTCGATTCCTTAGCACCTCATAAGCAGAAAAAGTGGGAAGTGGCACTGTGGCTCAAGTGGTAGAGCGCTAGCCTTGAGCTGAAGAGCTGAGGGACAGCGCCCAGGCCCAGAGTTCAGGCCCCATGACCGACCAAAAAAAAAAAAAAGTCTAGGCCAAAGAGACCCCTTCCTCGCTCAGTACCCCACCTCGCTCAGTACCCCCACCACGCTCAGTACCCCAGCTGCTCAGGCGGCACAGGTAGAAGGACCATGGTGTGAGGCAGTCCAGGGTCAAAAACAATGAGCCTGTGGCTTGAATGGTTGAGGCCCGCCTACCAAGCAATGAAGCCCTGAGTTCAAGTTAAACAAAAATGAAAAGAGCGAGCAAGCAGAAGGAGAACAGGAGCAGGCGTGTCCACACCCCTACCTGGTAGAGGGGGGGCAGATTCCATGCCCCTGCCTGGGGGTGGCTGGCCTCGTGGCTGTGGCCAGAGCCTCTGTGTCCCGCAGCTCCTGGCGTGGCACAGTGCACCCCTCACATCGGAGTTCGTGGCGCTGCTCCCGGGCCTGGTGGACGCCAGCCTGGCTGTGGAGATGCTGCACGCCCTGTTGGACCTGCCCTGCCTTACCGCCGCGCTGGACCTGCAGCTCAGGTGACCAGGACACCCCCCTCCCCGCTCCTCTGTACCTGGGGAGGAGAACCTGGAGAGGCCATGAAGCACCATGGCATTGCCCTGGAGTCTGGGGTTACTTTTTGTTGTTGGTGGTCCTGAGGCTTGAACTCTGGGCCTGGGTGCTGTCCCTCAGCTCCTCAGCTCAAGGCGAGTGCTCTACCACTTGAGCCATGACACCACCACTTCCAGTTTTCTGGTGGTTTATTGGAGATAAGAGTCTCACAGATTTTCCTGCCTGGGCTGGCTTTGAACTGTGATCCTCAGATCTCAGCTTCCTGAGTAGTTAGGATGACAGGCATGAGCCACTGGCGCCCAGCTGGGTCAAGGGTTACTTTGACCACAGTTGGTCTGGGCCAAGAGCCACATCCCAATGAGGCCTTGGGTCTCCATCCACCCAGGAACTCAGCCACCCCATCGGACAGGCCGCTGTGGGACACCTCCCTCAGGAACCCCAGCTGCCTAGAAGCTTTCAGGAGCCCCCAGTTCCAAGGACTCTTTCAGCACCTGCTACGCACCAAGGCCAGCGGCTCTGTGGAGAGGTCAGGTGCTCGGGTGCGGCGGGGCGGGGCGGGCTGGTGGCCCTGTGCTGACCCTGATGTCCTAGGCTCAGAGCTGGGCACAGGACCTGGCTGCTCACCGGCCCCTCGGCCCCCAGCCCCTGCCACCAGTGCAGCTCTGCTTTCCCGAGCCTGAGGACTAGCACCTCCAGAAGGGGAAGGGAGGGCGGGAGAGGGGATCCCAGGCTCAACTAACTAGGTCGCAGTGGTCTCCCCAAGCCCAGGACAGTGGCAAGAATTGGGCTTGGCGTAAATGTGGTGGGATGGCACTCAGGAGCCGCTGTCCTGCTGCCCGCATGGGCCTGTGGGCAGGCACTCAGTGGTCCGGCCATGTCCCAGGCTGACACCACTCCACCAGCTGCTGCAGCCCATGGCCAGCTGTGCCCGCGTGGTCCAGTGCGCCCAGGCGGTGCCCACCCTGCTCCACGCGCTCTTCGCCGCCGTGACCCAGGTGAGCCCACCGCCAGTCTCAAGAACCCCCCTCACCCCCATTCCTGCAGGCAGGGGTGCTGCCTGCTGGCCCCTACCTGATGTCTGGCTGCTGGGCACGGGCGCAGGGCAGTCTGGGAAAACTCTTTTGCCATGGCCTTGCAGTGCTGCGTCACAGGGGGCGCAAACGGAGTTGGGGGCTCAGACAACCCTCCCACATGTCCTGCCCTGGCCCAAGGCAGGGGACAAGACCTCCCTGGGCCTGGCTACCCCCTCCCTAAGCGTGGAGGATGGTGAGGTGGATGGAGCCCCTCTCTCTCCTCACCCCCAGTTCGCCGATGGTGCCCTGACCAACCAGCTAGCGCTGCTGATCCTGGAAAGAAGCGACTCGCTCTATCAGGTGGCGGGGTTCGAGGCCCGCGTGCACAGGTGCGCCTCACCTGCCGGTCTACCCCAGGCCAGCCTGAACCCCTCCCCCCTCCAGAGCATTCTCTTTCTGCACTAACTCCACCTTCAGGGCTGGTTCAAGTCCCCTTTCCAGGACCCCATGCCCTCTGGGTGCGTTCTAAGACCTCAAGGTACATGAGCCAGGGTCGACGTGCCCCGGTGTGAGGTTCTGGGGACAGGACAATCCTCAGCTGCTGACCCGAGTGTGGTGGAGCAGCTGTATCGAGGGGCTCCCCGATCCTCTCCAGTTGTGGGCCTGGGCTCTGTGCAGAACAGGCCGGCCCACAGCGCCCGCTGTCCCAGCAGGGTGCTGAGCAGCCAGCTCCTGGCACTGTGCCAGCAGAAGCCGGCGCTGGTGGTGGAGCTGGCCAGGGAGCTGCTGGGTGTCGGGGGAAGCGTGAGCAGCATCCGCAGCCATGGGAGCGTGCTCACCTGCGTGGTAAGCCAGGGCACGGTGGGCTCACCTGCCTCCTCCCCTCGAGGCCTGGGCTGGGCTGAGCCTCCTCCATCCGGAGCCTAGGTGTGGGCCGTGGGCGAGTACCTGTCAGTGGCCTGCGACCGGCGGTGCACAGTGGAGCAGATCAACAAGTTCTTTGAAGCCCTGGAGGCCCTGCTGTTCGAGGTCACCCAGTCCCGCCCCTCAGCTGACCTGCCCAGGTGTCCCCCGCAGGTCATCACTGGGCTCATGACCACACTGACCAAGCTGGCTTCCCGGAGCCAAGACCTGATCCCCAGGTACCCACGTAGGGATGCCATGGGACGCCCTGCCCTGCCAAGTACCATGCTGGCTGAGTACTCTGAGCTGGCTGCCTTGCAGCCTGGGGGAGGCTGGGCCTCCACTAGGGGTCCCAGCTAATTAATTGAGACACACACACACCCCACCCTGGCCCCTAGGGTGTCTTTGTTCTTGTCCAAGATGAGGACGCTGACCCAGAACCCAGTCCCCGGCTTTGCGCACCAGGAGGAGGGCACAGAGGCCATCCGCACACGGGCCACCGAGCTCCTGACCCTGCTGAAGATGCCCAGTGTGGCCCAGTTTGTGTTCACGCCAAGTGCAGACGTGTGCCACCCCCGCTACCACCGTGACACCAACACGGCCCTGCCCCTGGCCCTATGTACTGTCAGCCGGCTGGTGGAGAAGGAGGCCGGCCAGCCTGGGTGAAGGCACGGTGCCAGGGATACAGGCTGCTGATTCAGAGCCTGGTCTCCAACCAGGTCTTAGGGCCAAATCTGGGCCGAAGTGGTCAGTTATGTGAGGGGAGCAGAGGCTGCTGGGAGAGGCAGGAAGCCTCCAGAGCCTTTTCTCCACTCCTGCCTGCATGGCTGGGCTGAGCTGGGCCTTGGAGTGGCTTGGCCACCTTTGGGTTTTCTTTGGGCTGGACTCAAGCTGTGTGACCCGTTTCCTCTTCCTTGTCTCTTGTTTTAGACACATACTAAAATAAACCTTTAAAATCCAAGCACATCATGGGTCGCCCCTTCTGCACCCCGGGAGATGGCCGGGTCCCAGGAACCTGCAGCCTTCCAGCCTGGCCTCCAGTGCAGGACTGGCTCTGGCTGAGTCCCAGCACCCATCAAGATAAGACACTCCCAGGTAACCCAAGGGGTGTGGAGGCTGCTGCCTGGGCCCAGCACCAGCCCTAGGGCCCTGTGTAGTTGGTGTGGACTCTGCACTGGGGCATAGAGCAGCCAAACCTGCAGGTCCTGAATTCTGTGTTCCAGAAGCTTCAGGCCCCAAAGTCCCGGCTAGAGCCAGATATGGCCACCAGGTGGCGCTGCCCACCAGCTCCTGGCCAGCCAGGGCCCCACCCCATTGTCCAGGCCTCAGCACCCCTCTCCTAGTCTATCCGTGGGACCGGTGGGATCATGGACTGGGATGCCCTAGAGCAAGCACTTAAAGCAGTAGTAGGCCCACAGGCCATGCCTTCAGAGTTGAGCAAGAAGAGGTGCTGTTGCTTCAAGAGGCTTGGCACTGACACTGGCAGCAGCAGGGGAGGAGAGGACTTGGCAACTGGGTACCCATAGGAGCAGCACCCTCCCTGGATGTGGGCGCTGGCTCTAAGGATCTTCCTCTGGGTCCAGCCATGCATCTCCCACCCCTTGTTCATTCTCAGCTGGCATTCTACCACTTGAGCTATGCCTCCAGATTAGCTTTTTGCTAGCTAACTGTAGATGGAATTTCACTGATTTTTTTTTCTGCCTGGGCTGGATTAGAACTAGAGTTACAGATATGGGCCACTGGTACCTGGCTCAGCCACTTCACAGCTATCCAGCATTTTGAGTAGCAGCTTGCAGGGCTATGTCTGGCTGCTGCACCTCCCCTTCCTGGTCAGCAGGGGGCAGCATAGAGCGGCGAGGCCCTACCACTGGGGTTCCCCCAGGACACTGCAATAGGGGCTGGGCTCTGCGGCTTGTGCTGGGATCCCCTCACCTGGCCCAGAGCTTGACCACCCATTGGTGGTCACGTCAGCCATCACCTGCCACCATGTTTCACTGGCTGGTGAGGTGAAGCTGGTGAGGTGTGGCCAGCTAGAAGGGTACAGGTTGAGAGCCTGGGCCTCCAACTAGGTTGAACCTGGGCTGTGGTGAGTGGAGGCCAGCTGGGAGAAGCCAGAGCCCAGGATGAACTAAGGGTACTGAGCTGGTCTGATCTTAGGGACAAGGGTTTCTAGACCCTCTCTGGGGACATGCCCTGGCCCTTTATCCTAGCTGTGGTCCTGGGGCAGGAAGGGTGGGTCACTGTCACGCAGCCACTGCTACAATATCAAACATAGTTTATTCAATCTAAACTCTCATGAAAGTCTTTAAACATAAAGCTCTGTAAGAAACATCACAACTTAGTGTCATCTGTCATAAATAAAATATACACTAGGATATACACTATCAACAGGTGTGTCCTCGAGGATGCACACAACTCAAAGACCAGCCACGGGGTGGTGGCAGGTGCCAGGCGAGTAGAGCGCCTGAGGATGGGCGTGAGCGGGTACGCAGCTCCCTAGGTGGGGGGTGTGCGGAAGCGGATCTTCTTGGCAGTTTCTGTGTCAGACTTGGCAACCAAAAACCGCATCTTCTTGCCACCATGCCGGATGAGATCCACAGCTCTAAGACGGAGGAGGAGGTGAGGCTGGGGAGCTGAGGCCACCACCATGCAGATCCCCATCCCTCCCCCACCCCTAGTCCCATGCAGGCCCCATGCACAGAGGACCTGGGGGGCTGGTGAGCCCAGCGCCCCTCCTGCAGACCCCATTGCTGGTCCTACCTCATGTAGCCAACCCCCATCAGGCTGCTGCCGTTCACCTCCAGGATGCGGTCACCCAGCGACAGCCGCCCATCAGATGCCGCGGGGCTGCCCGGAAGCAGAGTCTGAATGTAGAGTCCGGGGGCGCCCAGGGGTGTGTGCTGGAGAGAAGCAGAGGCTTCAGGGCTTGGGTGGCTGGCACCCTTTCCCAGCAGGTGGCAGGGCAGCACAGGATACCCTTCTGAACCCCAGGATGGTCCTGAGGGCCCAGAGCCTGGACAGCTGCCCCAGGCCTCCGCTGCCCTGGGGCTCCCCAGCCCTGACCCTGGCTTGTCTGGGAGCAGGAGGGATTGGGGCAGCCCGGCCTCACCATCCCGTCAATCAGGCCCATGCCCAGCCCCACTGGGCCTCGCTCCAGCTCCACCATGAACACGTAGCAGAAGTCATCAGTGCTGGAGCTGCGGCTGGAGGGCACGGTTGGCTCGTCCGCTGCCTCAGCTGCATCTCCTGGATGGGGTAAGGAGGGGAACGGGATGAGGCCCAGGGGTCAGCATCCCCAGAGGATGGAGATCCGAAGAGCCCAGGGAACCCGTGTGCAGAATGAGATACCAGAGGAAGGGGTCACGTCCACCAGTGGGGCACCCCTCCCCCGGTGTCTGGAAGGGCACGTCTGGTCCTGCGCAGGTCTCCCCAGGCCAGGGTCTTGTGCAAACACCCCAGCACAGCCTCCTCCCTTGACTCCCTGCACACCCACATGGCAACTCTGTCCATCCTCTGGAGGGTGGCACCCATGCCCAGCCCCGTCCTCAGCCCCACTCTCCTCCTCCAAGCCGGCACTCACGCCCCGCCCAGGTGACCCTGGGTCTGCAGCACCTGAGAAGGTGGCTGGCCTTGGGCCCCTCTGCAGATGATGGACTTGCAGGCTCCTCCAAGCTCAGTCCTGAGGCTGGGCTCCCAGGGGTGACTGCTTGGCCCTGGTGCCCTGCCTGGCTCAGCCACATTCAGGCACATGCAGCACACGAGCACATGCTCCCAGCCAGGCGTGCCTCCACCTCCCTCCCCCTGTGCAGAGGCAATTCTCTGGTTCCCACATATCTCCTGGCCAGTGCCTGGAAGTGGCAGCCCATGGACCATACCCGCCCGGGGGCGGGGCCTCGTGCACCTTCCCACCTGGCCACACCCTCTGGGCCTAAGCCCTGGGGTTGGTTCTGGAAACCCAGTGGCCATGGGTAAGACCCACACCAGAGGCCTGCCGACTGGACATGAGCAAGGCCTGACCTCACCTTCTAGAACTGCGGCTGGAGGGCCATGAGGGCCATTTCTCTGTCCTTCAGGAGCTATTTTTCCAGAGTGACCACCAGGCTCTGGCCAGCTGGGGCCTCCAGGCTCCAGGCCTAGTGGGGTGCTGGGGGGTGTGAGCAGGCACGAAGAGTCGGGCTGTGGGGGGCCGGCTTGGGAGCCCCTACGGCCAGACTGCCTTACTGGGGGGCCCTGTACCCCCAGAGGCCCAGCAGCAGGAGCACGCCCTGGGGCAGCTTCGAGGGCTCCTCTGCTGGCGTCCCTGGATGCCACGGGGCAGCCCTGGCCCTCCAGCGGCCCCTGGAGAGTGGTGCGGTATGCACTGCCCTGGGGGGGGACAGAGGGACAGATAAGATCAGGCCCTAAGGACGAGCAGCCTCGCTGCTTCTAGACCTCTGCCCGCTGCCGCCCTCATCACCAAAGGAGGGCTGTACCCGGCTCATCCTGCCTCCATACCTCAAGGGCCCCCGGGTGGGTGGGCGTGGCACCAGGACTGCCTGGGCCCCGCAGGCCCCACAGGAAGTGACGGACGTAGAGCAGGTGCTGGTAGATGCCGTCGTCCACACAGTCGGACTCCAAGTCCACCTGGAAGCCCTCACTGGGCAGGACAATGGGCGGGGGGTGCTCGTAGGATTCCAGCACATCCTCTGCATGGGACAAGGCCACTGTGACCAGCCCACCCTCACTGGGGGCACAGATACCCGCAAGCACGTGGGCCCAGTGCACTACAACGTGACCCCCCCCACACACACAGGATTTCAACCAGGTTTCAACCACCACGTGTTAAGGGCACAGGGTCCCAGGGGCACTGAGGCCACCAGGCCTGAGGGACAAAACAGCAAAAGCTCCAACTGCATCCACAGGGAATCTCCTAGCACCTTCTCTGTGTCTACACATGAGGTGAAGAAAGACACGTGAAAATGCATGCATGTATACCACGTGAAGCCACGCAACCCACACACGTGCTCAGCACTGGAACTGACCCCTTGAGGCTCTGGGCCTGTGCCAGCTGAGCCCCAACAAGAGCCTCCACAAGAGGCAGAGGGACCTTTGGGCTGAGCCTGGGGCTCAGGGCTGGGTGTGGCCCTGGGCCTGGGAGCCCCTGGCTGCTCACAGGCCAGGCTGCCCCGCACTATCTGGGCCTGGATGATGAAGATCCCGGCCTTCCTCTGCCCTGTCACTCCACCCTGCCACAGTCTCACCTGATTGGAAGGCGTCGGGGCTGTCTTGCGCTCCTGGCTCCCAGGCACTCATGGGACCCATGGCCGAGGCCAGCTGGTACTGAGTCAGCAGCCGGTGCAGCTGTGCAGGGCTCAGGGCTGGAAAGGCAGCCCGGAGGGTGACCCAGCTCATCTGCGCATGGGGAGCTCAGGTCAGAGGCATCCTGGTGCCTACTGCAGCCGGCTTCCGGAGGCCCTGGCTCGAAAGCCCAGCACCCACAAGGAGCACTAGGGAACCAGGTGGGCCGGCAGGGGGCTCAGAGGGGGGCCCTTCACCCCAGCTGCCTCATGGGGCAGTGCCTGAGGGCCTGCAGCACAGCAGGCATCATGTCACCGGGCCTCTGGCAGAGGATGACTGGGAATCTGCAGCAAACAGGATCCCCACCTCACACCATAGGAAGCAAGGTAGCAGTGGACATGGGAGCTCAAGCCTATAATCCTAGTTAAGACTTTGGATCATGGTTCGAGGCCAGGCCCCACTTTCTGGATCCAAACTGCATCCTCTCGCCCTGCTCGGTTCTGTCAGGTGCAGATCCCACAGCAATGCGCATGGCCCCAGCCCTCCGCTCCCCTGCTGGCTGCCCACCATGTGGTGCCCTCCTAACCTGGATGAGCTGAGCGCTGGGCGTGGCCAGCAGGTGGAGGGTGCAGGAAAGCTTCCGGAAGAAGCGCTCACCGGCCGCCCCGAGGCCCTCGCTCCTCG